GCGCGCGCGCGTGTGTGTGTGTGTGCGCGCGTGTGCGTGATGTTTCTCAACAGTTTTTCTGCTGCCACAGAACGCTTTGTTCCTCCATCTTAGCTGCCTCCTGTCTGTCATCTGGCCTCTGTTGCACAGTGCAAACGTCTTACTCATTTCATGGCCGCGGAGCCGAGAAATGACTTTTTACTTCTCATCTGTTGATGAGGTAGTGCCATGGAGAGGAACACGCAGGCCCGCAGCTGTTATCGTGACCTTTTTAGTGAGATATTTGTTGGATAAAAGCCTTAAATCACACAATGTTCCTGGTCATACATACCACGTAATATACATACACTGAACTGTGTTCCACCTCTGAGCTGCTGCCAGACACAGTCCACACTTGGCCTCGGAACGCAGCACTGGAGTTGACGTTTTCCTCCTTCCCTCCTCTGTCTTCTCCCTCATTCTAGTTTAACCTCTCACTGTTTTTTTTTCCTTTCTCCCTGTTCTCTGTATATAACTATGTTTCTTCCCCCTCTTATCTCCATTCCTCTCTTCAGACGTGGGCTCGGTGGAGGGCTTGGCGTACCACAGGGGCTGGGATATGCTGTACTGGACCAGCTACACAACATCCACCATCACGCGCCACACTGTGGATCAGAGCCGCTGGGGGGCCGTTGACCGGCACACGGTGGTCACAATGTCAGGAGATGACCACCCCAGAGCGTTCGTCCTAGACGAGTGTCAGAGGTCAGAACTAATTCAGTTAAAACATAACCTCTTTGGCGGAGGTAATAATGCTGCAATATAATGTCAGAACTTTAAATCTATTCACATCCCTGATTCTTTCTCTCTCTTGCAGCCTTATGTTCTGGACCAACTGGAACGAGCAGTCTCCCAGTATCATGCGTGCTACCCTGACTGGTTCCAATGTCCTTGTGATCATTGGCAACGACATCCGAACCCCTAATGGCCTGGCCATCGACCACCGAGCTGAGAAACTTTATTTCTCTGACGCCACACTGGATAAGATAGAGCGTTGCGAGTATGATGGCAGTCGGCGCTATGTGAGTGATGTAAACACTTGAAGCTTAATGAAAATAGTTATAGTTGTACTTCAGTATAATGGCATTGCCTAATAACAGCCATCAGTTTGTTTATCGTTTCAAGTTTATTGCAAGGCTTGGAATTTCCTAAACGTGTGAGGTCACGGCTGTGGTCGTGCTTCCCCCTGCAGGTGGTGCTGAAGAATGAGCCGGTCCATCCGTTTGGCCTGGCCGTCTACGGTGACTACATCTTCTGGACCGACTGGGTGAGGAGGGCCGTGCTCCGCGCTGACAAATACACCGGAGGAGACATGAAGGTGCTGCGTGCTGACATCCCTCAGCAGCCAATGGGCATCGTCGCAGTGGCCAACGACACCAACAGCTGTGAGTGTGTGTGTGTGTGTGTTAAGGATTCAACAGAAAAAGTTCAATACATACGTCAGACGTCTCTGAAGTAAATACGTCAAACACTCACGGCGCAGAACACGTGAACAAAGATGTTTTTCTGCCCCAACAGAGCAGTTAATGGGATGACAAAAGTAATTTGGGCTACAGATTTTTGAGCACCAACATCAGCCCTGTTCCACCACACACACACACGCACCTTCTAAATTGCTGCTCACTTCACTTTTCTCCACACGTCTTCACCTTTTGTCTTCAACTCATCTCGTTCCCATATCTCCTATTGTCTGCTCACTTTCAAATCACTGCAGCATATCTTCAGCAATCTTCCGTCTCAAGTTGTCTCATTCAGTAAACTCCTTCTCGCTCTAATGCCCACAGTGACCATACAAGCTGAAAGCCTGCAGTAAAAAGCTGCAAATCCCATTTAGATTGAGTCACATTGAATTATGCATTCAGCATTCAGCAGAGCCATGGCCACATTCAGGCTGGCGTGTCTGTCTGCCGATGTGGAGGCATGTGTAGGGGGAGTGGGTGTGTGTGGTGTGTCAGGAGGGGTCAGAAATTCTCATTCACTGTGTGTGTGTGTGTGTGTGTCTGCATAGGTGAGTTCTCTCTGTGCCGTGTCAACAACGGGGGATGTCAGGATTTGTGTCTGCTGACCTCTGAGGGAAGGGTCAACTGCAGTTGCCGTGGTGACAGGAAACGTTTGGAAGACAACACCTGCATAGGTACGACGAGCAAGGGATTCACAAAAACTAGAGTTTGGCTTGAAAATCTCTTCATATTAAGAGATGACTAAGAGATGTTATAAAAAATTCATCTTTCATTTACTGCTTCATTAAAGCATGATGTGTGTGTGTTTTTCTGTCCTTGTCTCGCAGCCCTCAACACGACGTGTAACAACATTGATGAGTTTGAGTGTGGAAACGGAGACTGCATTAACTACACCCTGACCTGTGATGGTATGGCCCACTGCAAGGACAAGTCTGATGAGAAACAGTCCTATTGTGGTGAGTGGAACGTTCTTCTCTGTCCAGACAGTTCTCAAACGTTTTCTCCTTGACACTTGTTGAGTCAGTGTCTGTTTCTGTCTGGTTCTCAGCCAACCGTGTGTGTAAGAAGGGCTACAGACGCTGTGTGAACGGTCGCTGTGTGGGCCACAGTTCCTGGTGCAACGGGCAGGATGACTGTGGAGACAACTCTGATGAACTCTTCTGTAACAGTGAGTGAAGTCTTCCAATTAAATATGTTATAAATTAAGAAGAGACAAGAGAAACTTTATCTTAATCTAAGATTAAGAACATGAAAAAGCTTAAAATACAGTAAAACAAAATAAGAAAGACATGTACTCGAGTAAACAAACTTTATGTGACACAAATATATATATATATATATATATTACAGTTTGTGTGTGTAAATTTCACATTAGGAGGCATACATATGGAATAATATAATCTGTATGTTATAAGGATAGAAATACAAATGATGTGCAAATGGATATGTCTAGGAGTAGTTGGATAGTTGTGGTACTGCATTTATTTAGCATTTATTTTCTTTCAGCCTGCAGTCATTTGACATTTTAAAACTCTCTGTTTTGTGTGTGTGTCTCAGCCACACTGTGCTCAGCTGATCAGTTCCAGTGCAGAGACGGAGGCTGCATCTCCAACTCCAGCAAGTGTAACCAGAAGGTGGACTGTGAGGACGCCAGTGATGAGATGAACTGCAGTAAGTTCAGTGATAATCAGAACACCTATAATAAGAAAAGCCAACACTCCCAGGTGCTAAAGTAGTTCTGCTCTGTTTGTCAAGCTGCCACGGACTGTTCCAGTTACTTCCGTCTGGGAGTGAAGGGAGCGACATTTCAGAAGTGCGAGTTCACCACTCTCTGCTTTGCCTCTTCATGGCAGTGTGATGGAGCTAATGACTGTGGAGACCTCTCTGATGAAAGAAACTGTCCAGGTATTTTAACAACCTCTGAAACACACATTTTCTCTTTGATATATAGTAGGTAGGTTTAAGATTTTTTTTCAAAGGTCGGTTAGAGCAGGAGCTTCCTAATATATCAGAAACAAAAACAATTTGATCCATACAATTTAGGAATGGGAGGAAATTCAAATGTTTTTCTGGCTTACCCACCTGATGTTTTCTTTTTTAACATACCACTTGTCTGTCTTTGTGCCAGGGAGCGGGAAAACCAACTGTCCGACGCCCTACTTCGCATGTCCTAGTGGCCGCTGTATCCCCATGAGCTGGACCTGTGATAAAGAGAACGACTGTGAGAATGGTGCAGACGAGGCTCACTGTGGTATGTTTGGATGCCGTACTACAGCCTAAACAATGCGAAATGCAACCAACCATTATTTTGTTGTTCCATTTGTGTTTTGCACTTTCTAAATTCTTTCTGTCCGTCCAGATAAGTTTTGCTCGGCCTCCCAGTTTGAGTGTGGGAACCATCGCTGCATTCCCAAACGCTGGGTGTGTGACGGAGCCGATGACTGTGGTGACAGCAGTGACGAGGACAGCAAGTGCAGTGAGTGTTTGACACTTTAACAACCAAAAGTACAATCATTTACTCCTGGACATGTAGGAGTAAAAGTATTATGACAGCTGTAGATTCTGTGGGAAATATGTGAGCATACATCAAATTCTCAAAATAGATTCAAGTATTGGACTTTTGTGAGACAACTGTTTGTTGTGATACTGTGCTATATAAATACATTTGATTGATTGATTGATTGATATATGATACTCTCTTTACTAGTGCTTCGGTCTTTTTGCATTAAATGAATTATTTCATGATAACTATAATGGCGCTTACTTCACATTGCTCTTATTGACTAAAACATGGAGTGTAAGGGAATTTAACTTTTACATTTTAACAAAAACTTTAAACCACAGTGATTTAATATGGGGGATGTACCTCTCTCCTCCAGCACGACCAACCAACTCAACCTCCTACAACTGTGTATTAAAGTACTGAGTAAATATGACTGTGTTTATTAACTTTATCTTTAATGTAAATTCTGACACAATGAACATTTGGAAAAAAGGAAAAATAATTTAGCCTTTTATAGTCAGTTCAAATTAGTT